CCTCCTCAGCCGATCCCTGCCTCCTCAGCTGCTCCCTTCCTCCTCAGCCGATCCCTTCTTCCTCAGCTGCCTGCACTGCCACGCATCAGGAATGACTCCGGCGGGAGTCATTCCTGCCCCCGGGCTGCCTCACGCCGCCTGGCGAGGGTGGTTGGGCCGCTGCCCTCTTCCTTCTCAGTGTAACATCGAGCCAGGTGATGTTCTGTAGCCAGAACTACGAGGGACAGCCTGGCTGGGTGTTAAACTGTGGGCGAGGGTGGGAATGGGCAAAGGGAAAGCCTGAAGGAGGATGCTGCCCCCGAGAGTGTTTAGTTTTATGAAGGAACGTGGTTTTTTTCTAGACCAGACTGCTCAGTTGTCACCTCAGAGGTAGTGCTGCAACTGTGAGCAAAAAATCTCGACAAAAATATGAAGTGATACAAACTGAAGTTTACTGGCTTTTGTTCTTCACTTCTCATACTTGGAAAAAAAGCCCTTCCTCACATCTTTTGTCAGTAAGTGCACACTTGGCAGGAGTATAATGTTGGCTGGGGGTGTAATGTAAAAAGCAAATTTTTTAAAGTTTTCACTTCATTTAATGAATTCCATGGAATTTTCAAAAGCAGTAAATTCAGAGGTAGCTTAGAACAATGGATGTTTTCCGATCATCTTGGTTTTCCTTCTAACGATAAAACTTTGCTTACATCACATTTCTCCATACAAAGAATAATACAAGAAAACTGGGGTGCTTTGTGGGAATGTAATACTAAAAGAATAAGTTAAATCCCCAGACTTAGCTTACAGAGCTACCACCAAGTACAACTGCTTATTAGGGCCCTAATCACATTCCTGAACCCTGTAGGAACAGCCCTGCTGTCTTTCAGCAGAGTTAGGGCCCCAACAGGAAAAAGGAGACTTCAAACTTCACAGAACTATTCTGGTCTGCAGGTGAAATCTCCTTGATACATCTGAACGTGGCCATATCAGTCGCATCCAATTCCTTTTAGGGCTGGCTGTCAGAGATGTGCCACACTGGCAGCCATCCTCTGGCTTCAACGTGCCAATGAATTCCTCGGTGGAAAGGAGAGGCTTGTACTGGAGGTGGTGAAAGGAAAGGGGCTCCTGAGCTGGAACACCACTCGCTGGACCAGCGAGGAGCTGATGCTCGTTACAGTCAGCTTGGTGTCACTCACCAGCTCTTCCACCACAACAAGGGATTTCCTGAGAAGCCCCACCCTTTGCCACTGCCCGTTTTGAAGGCGTCCTTACACAGTCATCATCAAATGGGGACACATCCTGAATAAACCCTGAATAAATAAAGAGTGGGTTGCTGCTGCAGAGGGGGCTGAGAGTGGAACTGGCAGGGAAGCAGAAAGGGGAACACGTGAGGAGCACTGTGTCTTTCAGAAATTGTTTGCTCTCTCTTGAAGAGGGTTGAATCCAAAGTGTGTCATGCTGCTGCCTCAACATCATTACCATTTTCCTTTGGCCGTGCATGTCCTGCTCTGTGTCGCTCTTCAGGGTTATCCCTGTCGCAGCCACCTCCTGTTGTGGCGCTGGCTCTATGGCATCTCAGTGCTCTTTTGGAAGGGTGGAGGAGGCTTCCCTGGTGTGAGGAATGTCCACGGCTGCAGACACAGCAGAACTGCCTTTCCTGCAGCTTGCACAAGCTGAAGCGATCGTGTGACGTGAAGGGGTTCAGTTTCTCAGGAGCTGACTACAGTCATTATTAGGTAACCAGCTAGACCAAGTTACAAGTGAGGTTTTTGCTGACATTCTGTGAATTTTTCCTTTGAACTTCATGACTCATGCTATAATATAAGGTTTAGACACGTTTTCCACTCAATGTAAAGTTTAGACACATTTTCCACACAGCAGGAAAGCCTCCTAGGAAACAATTAGGATGAAAAGCTAAAATGTTTTCCTCAGCTTTCATGTCTGGCAAGTTTCAAATTTGGTGACTCAACACCACCATTATTTTTTCCTTCACGCATCATTCTAGAAGAAGGGGTTGTTATTTGTTGAGTTACAGGTTTTCTCCACCATTGTAATTTTGTCTCAGTCTGCAGGCAGGAGACTTTCGATGCCGGTATATGAAGCTGACCTCTGGCTGGGAAGGGCAACTTGTCAAAATACTACAGGAAACCTGTGTGCTTAGAGGCTCGAAAGAATGGTTGTGTACAGAGGAATTTTGACTTTCAGCGTAGTTCACTCTTATCAGAAAGAGTGAATTATTTTTAAGTCTGGTTCATTAAGATAATACACAGTATGGTGAGAAAAGAAAGCTCTTTGTCAGTAGCTGGGAACAGTTGTTGAAGACTGTGGTTTCTCTACTCAAAGTACTTTATTGAGGATGTTTCTTTTCCTCAAGGTAAGTGTGAAACACAGGAACAGAACCTGTTTCACCAAAGCTGTAAAACCCTACTGATAGCCCGTGTGGGTGCTCCTGAGTAATTTGAAATTTAAAGCTTCCTGTTGACCTAGTCCCATGGCAGAGGAGAACTACAAAATGTAAAGGTCTCTTTGGTTCAGGTACGTACCTCATGGAAATTTTTTTCCTGAAAGATGAATGTGGTAATAAAGCTGTGAGCCAGTGGACCTTTTCTGTTATTTCTCGTCATATATTTACCACTACAAATAATGTATTTTATAATATGTATAAATAAATATGTTTGTGTATATATTAACTTACGATGCTCATATTTTGAATGACAAGAGTCACACTGAAAGAGGTGATAAAGTGTGGGATGAGAAGGAGATGGGCATGAAGGCTGGAGTATCATTGGGAGATGAAGTGCCAAAGTCTAAAGTGCCATTGAAGTGTGCCAGTGGAGGAGATTCAAATAAAAGCCAGTGAAGGAAACCTCCTAAATTCTAGCAGCTTTACTGCTAGAAGGTATTGTAGAGCCCTTTATGCTAATGCTCTATACAATGAGAGGAACTCTGTATTACACCATCTCAGGTTGGCTGTCTACAGATTACTCTTAAACAGTGTCTGAGTTTGTTCATGTGGCTTTATCTTCTCTGTCTCTGATTAAAATGTGAGTGCAACTCTGCATTGCACCATCTCAGGTTGGCTACAGATTACTCTTAAACAGTGTCTGAGTTTGCTCATGTGGCTTTATCTTCTGTCTCTGATTAAAATCTTGATTGTATGGACCAAAAGACCACCGGTTTTCCTGGAGTTTGCCAGATTGCTTCAGACACTTTTAGTGGTTTTTCTTGTATCTCCATATTTTTAACAGTATCAAATTGATGGGAGTTGTGTGCTGAGCAAAAGTATTTGAAGTGGCACACTAAAGTCAGAATTTGGTATCTTTTCATTAGCACACTAAAATCACATTTCTCTGGGTGGTAAAAAGAGGCTCATTTTTTTCTTAGGGAGATCACTGCATCTACCTGTTGGGAATATGGCAGGATTGCAATTTGTGTGAACCCAGGGAAGAAGCTGCGTAGGCTGAGAGTGCCTCATGCTACTGTCAGCCCAAAAGGAAGGGAATGGTTGTACAAGGGGCTGGTGAGTGAGCCAGACTATGGGCAGAAAAGCAGAGAGGAAAGCTTAGAACAGACCTGTGCAAATGGTGGACTCAAGTCTCAATCTGGGCAGACAAATAATGCCTGCTGCATTCCTGCTCAGTGTCTCACTCTTTCTTACTCTTTCCTGTCTGTTGGGAACCACCCCTCACTTCTTAGCTGTGAGGGCAGCATGCAGGGCAGAGCCAGAACAAGGATGCTGATTTTTGTTTTTCTAAATGGACTTTGGTAAAAATGAGCCTCATAGTCCTGGCTCAGGTGCTAGGATAGGGCAGTTACAGAGCTCAGCAACACTGGCTCAATGGATCCAAACAGTGACAATGGTTTTTTCCATCAGGTCATCAGACAACTGCCTCCCAACATTGTTATCCATTGTTAACAGATTATGTGTAGGCATTGCAGCTATGCTATTTATTTTGCAGCCTGGCACAGATTAATAGTTCTCTGGCAACCCTGCTCCAAGGCCTTGAAAGCCTTTATGAAGGGCATCAGTAGTAAAGCCACACTTAGGAAAAGCTGTAGTAACACAAAGCTTCTGCAAAGCTACTGAAAAACTGAGGAGTGTCCCAGACATACTCACAGATACAACTTGTGGGGTAGGGGTGGCCATTTCCTCCTGTGGTTTCTGTTTGAAGATTTCACTGAGTAAGATTGATTGGCTGCCTCATGAGCTGGGAAGTGGACAGCATTACTTTCTACACAGAGTGCAGGAAACCATGAACAGGAGCTTCCTGGAGTTTTACTTATTCTGTGGGTATTCCCAGTAGTTGGGAAGAGGGTTCATCTGCCTTGATGTAATTTAGCAAACTCCTGTATCATTTGCTGTTTTCTTTAAGCATTCCTACCAATATATCTCTTCCATCAGTCATATATACTTCATATTCCTTTTCCCTCAAGAGGCAATCTTCCATATGGAGTATCAGTGTGTAGGAAGGGTTAAAACCCTGAGACTATTGAGTCCTTTTTTATTTGACATTGTTGAGTGAGCTGCAGAAACCATACCAGTTCTTGAGCATACTGCAGAGTAACTAGAAACAATGGAGCAAAGAAGAAACTGAAAAATCCAGTCCCAGATCTGTGATAAGAGCAGAGATATTTGGGAAACGAAAGTGTTCTTTCTGGACTTCAGGTTAGGCAGATCTATATTTGCTATTATGTTTGAGAACTGTTTGTCTTGTGTTTGTGAACTGGTGAGGTTTCTAAATGTTTGAAAGTGAAAGAAATTATTTTGTGAGTTGTAGACTGAAGAATTTTGTACAGGACCAAGGCAAGACAATGACAAAATTCCTTTTCAGATATACTCTATTCTGAGGATGGTCAGTTTAAGATAGTGTGTTTATATGGGTGTGTTAAACCTGTACAAGACAAGTATGGTGAATTTTTCTACATCAGAAGCTTACTGAGTTCTTAGGCATATTTTATCTGTAATCTTTATTGTGATTTTTATTAAAAGTTTTTGCAGACTGTTCACAAAGGAGAAACCAGACATGGTATCTACAGTCTGGTAAGTAGGATACTTCATTAGGGTGAGACAGGTACACAAACTGAAAGAAAGGAGTTTAAAATCTTTTTCTCTACTTCAAGTACTTGAACGTACTTTAATCTTTGTGAAGACAAAAAAATTAAGAGAATTATTTACATGCAGATATTGGTCTGTGCCTGCTCAATTACTGAAGATAGAAATCAGAGCAGTATGTCTGACATCTATTGTCCTCAGCAGTGCAATTGGCAGCTCTCATTTAGACTGTCAGGCAGCTGACAAGTTCCTTCTGCTTAGCTCTGTCTGCCTCAGTCATCTGAGTGACCTTGTACAATCAATCCTAGAGTCTGAGAGGGGCTTGGGAATGAAACCAAGCGTATCAGCTTTGCAGTCCAGAAGTACAGCTTGTTGGTGTGAGGAAGCAGTCTGAAATGATACTTCTTTTATTCCCTTGGCAGTTTAAGGATTAATTGTCATTTATGTACTGAACATGTACTGAACATGCTGACAGGTGACTTGACAATGGACTTGTGAGGTGAAAACTAAAAGGATTTATGCCACTGAAATGAAAGCAAGGATCAGGTCCACTTACTTGGCTGTATGAGCATTGTTTTAAAGGCTTCTGAGGAGTTGAAAAGTGCAGGGCAAACATCGATCACCCAAAGTAGTATTGATCTCCCTTGCTTTCTAGGGATCTCTGATGCCTTTAGGTTCTCAGTGTGAGCACAGGAGTTCTTGTGGCAGTCAGCATGGCCTTCCAAGTGCTGAATGAACGGACTAAGTTGGCACACCCCTGCATTAGTAGTAAGAGCAGATTAACAGTGCCCCTCCTAAAAGGTATTTCTTGTATTTGAAGAGCTTGGTGCCTGACATCCTTTCCCTTAATGTGATTGAAGGCTGAGGCAACAGATCCTGCCTTCGTGCTTCTTGCCTGCTATAAGAACCTTGAGAGAAATTCCACCTGAGGTCACTGGCTGCCTTCACTGACAGTCGTAAGAGAGCTTTAAGTTATTTCAGTGAGAGCCCATATTTTGCTTTGGAGACAGGAATTTCCAGAGAATCATAATTTACTTCTCCCTCATAAAACATGCATTTCATAAAAAGATATTCCAGTGTTACGTTATCGCAAATTTCAGTTCTTTGCTTTTCTAATACTATGGAGCCCGGCAATAAAAAAACCCCAGGTCTTTTGTATTCAGTAATTGTGAGGTCAAAAGCTAACAAACATTGGAAAGCAGGACATCATTCAGTATTAAAGTTTTAGTTATGTCTTAATCAAAGGTGAGCAGAAAGAAGGAAGGTTTGAGGAATTTGGAATAAAAAGATGCTCTGTTTGTTGACGATACATCTGTGTATATTATCAACACACAAATAGCATTGAAACGTTTGAGAAAATAGAGATTCCTTAAAGCAGGAAAGAAGGTAAAGAAATAAGTCAGATATCTGAAGCAGGCTGTAAAAGTTAAGGTGCAGTGGCAAAACACATGTACTGTGAAAGAAATGGCAAGAAATCATTTTAGAGGATTGTCTTTAAAACTCAAACAATTCCCTGTATGCAAGCAACAATTCAGACAGTTCTGCATTTGACATAACCAGCACTTCAGATGCATATGTCACTTTTTCTCTAAGTAACCTCTACATAGAGAAGTTGCCTTGCTACTTCATAACATGCTTTTTCATCCAACAGATGTGAGGCAATCTGAGGTAAAGGTGATGATCAAGTGTTTCCCAAGGTCACCCACATTGTGAATGAAGGGAGTATAAGAGTTTCAGAAACCTGACATGAGCTCTAGAATATGAAATACAACTCAGGGACACAATAATCCTAACAGATTATCTTGATCTTAGATTAAATGGTTTATATATGAGCCTAAGAGAAGTTATAGATGGGAATATTTGTAGTTGGAAGGTGATCTAGGTAAGGATCATAGAATCAGAGTGTTGCAAGAGCTATGTTAAAAATTTGGATTAAATTATTCAGCAGTGTATCTGGGCCTTCAGGTCCCTGAATCTAATCTATGTCCTCTTGTAAGCAGGAGGATTGGGATGGAGCTCCTGAAGCAAGTAGTATTGAAAGAGACTTTCCCAAGCTGGACTAGGCAAGAGAGTTTCTCAGTTGTTAAGATCAACTATGTCATTTCAAGATAAGTAAACAAAATAATTTTCAAAGTTTTATGATGAAACAGCTTTTTCTTACCACATTGCAATTATTACACAGCCACTGTTTTGTTCAGTGTAAACTTCTAGTGGTTCATCTAACTCTGCTTCTGATTGGTTTTAAAAGTACTTGTTCTGCTACACTCAGAGCTTTACAAAGCTTCTGAAGGAGCACCTTGGCTGGTTTTTCTCAGCTAGCTTGTACCAGAGTTTGAAGCAATACAGGTGTAAGCATGGCTATGATACAGCAGGGGAAATGAGTGTGAAAGAGGGCAGAATCGGTATTATTAACAATCTGCTACTGTGAAGGACCTGTAGCAGTGAAAATAATCTGTTTGTGTTTGATTAAAAAAAAAGCCAAAAAAGGGATAAGATGAAAATGTGTGGAGGGGATGATGTATCTTGGCTGATGTGCAAGGAAGATGCTTTTTACAGAATATTTTTGGATGAATTTACATCATAAATTAACATTTTAATGGGATAGGGCTCAACAAGTGTTTACTGAAGAGGAAAAGTACCAGGAATGGCCAGTAGAAAAATGGTTTTATAGAGTTTCCTACAAGTTCTCCAAATACGGAGACTAATATAGAAGCAGGTCTTTCAACAGCCTTCAATCCCACCTTCCAATGGGCTATAAACAAAAAATCAAGAGAATACAGAGCCAGACTCTTCCAAAGCTACATACCGAAACGCTGATGAGCAAAAAGCATAAGTGACATTAAGAAAAGTACTGCAGTTAGGAAAACATTCTAGGGAGCACCAGAACAAGGGCCGAAAATGTTGGGGAGTCTGCATTCTTGGATGAGTTCAATACTCAGGTGGGCAGAGTCTCTGAGTTGTTTCATCTTTGAGTAGGAGGTTGAACCAGAAAAATCTCCTGAAGTCCTATTTCAATCTAAATTATTGCATGATTTTCAAAACCCCAATTCATTCCCCCAACCATAGTTCTTGAAATTGGCAATCTTCCTGGTATATAATCTGATTTTAGCTCACAGCAATCAAGATACCTAAAGGTATCAGGCATGCCTGAGATGTTATTGGAAAGTTATGGTCATTTTAACAGAAAGTAGCTGGTGCCTTCTGCCCCAGGGAAAGCAGATTAAAGGCAGTTGTTTCAGAGATCTCTGCCAGATAGCAGGGAACAATGAGGAATATATACTGCATGATGACATGTGATATCTTTACAATGTTCAGCTCAGTTCAACACACCCATTTGCAAGACAATATCCTTGAATTTCAGAAATATTTGTTTTGGCAGGGAAATATTCAAGTAAGATTTAATTTAGAAAAATTGATCCTCTCCAGAGGCCTTTGCTTAGGCAAGGAAGCAGAATGGGAAAACAAAAACTTTGGTTGTCTTCAGCAAATTGGACATTTGGACAGCCTGAATTTATTTATAAATGTAGCATCTGACATTAAACATGGATTTATTAGTTGGCTGGCCAGAAGATTTCTCTTTTAAAAGTTTATTCTTTTTCCAGGGAAGGGTTTTTGTTACCAAAAAAAAAAAAAATCCCCCCCCCCCCCAAAAAAAAAAAAAAGTATTGTGAGCAATTGTCAGATGGTTGCATCTGGTTCTTGGTTTGCTTTACCTTGAAGAGTACCCCCCCCCCCCCCAAATCAAAACAAAACAAAATAAAAAGCACAAACAAACAAACAACAACAACAAACCACCCTGGCCAAATATCAAGGATTGTTTTTCCAAGGATGCTAGGAGGTGTAATGGTACAAGTGCCTTTCTTTCCTAAAATATATATGCATCAGCATGGGTCAGTCATTTCTAAGAAATGCTTTTACTGAAGCATAGACTTTGGCTTTTATAGCAAAAAGGTTTTCAGTGATCAGAGGTCCTTCTTAGTCTTGTGACATGCAGTGTAATAATGCCTCTTTCTGTATTCTGTAGGCTTGGAATTAATCCTGTAGATTTCCCAGAAACTTCTGCTTCCTTTATTGCTGGCATTTATCTGTCAGTGGCACAGGCTTCTGCTACAATCAGTGCAGACTGGAGAATACACACATGGCTCTAATGGGTGTAAGTTTTTTACAGAATGGAGAATACACACAAAACTGTAAGTTTTCTACAGAATGCAGTTAGGAGGGCTCTGGGAGAAGGATTGCAAATGAAATTAAGAAATATACTGGGAAAATATTTTTCAGGTCAGATATACTTTATCATTAAACTACAATCCAATGATAATCTATTTGAACAAACTTCTTAAGAAGTAAACATCCCCTGACAACTAATGTTGTTTTGTGGGGTTTTTTAAATTATTTTACCCCAGAGGTCTCTTTGGGATGTATCAGTTCAGACATTTGTTAGCATGCTCAGTTTGCCCAGGCATTGCATGAATATTCAGCACCACAGAGTTTACACTTGTTACTTTCTTTGTATGGCTGGAAGGTGACTCTATAGCTAATTAGCTCTGTTTAGTGCTGGTACAGTGTACATTGCCTTCCAAAGAGCTCCTCCTAAAGAAGGGCACTGTCACAATGCCAAACATTCAGAACTTCAGAAACTCCAGAATTTGGTTGCTATGTAAAACTGACTTAGCTTCATAAGCCTGTGCAGTGCAAGATTGTCTGTAATTACACACTGATTTTTCCACTTACATCAGCATTTTGCAATTCAATTTTAATACAATGATATTAAATAGTATAGCTTTTCTTGGAAGTGGGGAAGGCTAAAGCTTCCGGGATATCAGAAAACTTTGCAAGGTGCCATCTCTACAATTTGGGTTAATGGAGCAGCTAGTAACAGTAGGAATTGCTCTATTGTGAGCCAGATAACACAGCAAGATGAATCAACAGGCTGCAGAATTTCACAGCACAGCACGTCCTGGTTCCAAAGGAGCATGGACATGCAGTTCTGCATTCTGTCTCAGTGAGACTGGTGGCTGGAAACTGCTGTCACTGCACCTCCAGCCTCTGTTTTTTCTTCTGTTACATCACTATTGTGAAGGAAAAGATATATGAGCTGAAAAGGGCAGGTTTAAAATGGTAATGGTAATAGGAGGGACTTTGTGACTGGCAGTACTAGACACTGGTTTGATCAGGGGCAGTCTAGGGTAAAAATTAATTTTTTAGGATTACAGCTTCTTTTTCCAGGAATTTTGCTTTGCCTAAAAAAAAAAATTAAGAGGGAAGTGGAGAGACTCATGGTTTGAACTTTCTCTTGGGTGGGGTTCTTTCTTTATAGTATTGTGCCACCACTGCAGTAATGCCTCAGAAAAGAAAACCCAGGTAATCAAGATGAAAGGGTGAAAAGTGATGCTTTCACTGTCAGTTCTGTTATGGTAAATGAGGCTTTTATAAGGCTATTCCAACAACCATTCAACTCTCTATCCTACTTGGTTGTTCTACTGCTTTTGCAACTCCTAGCCATAGTCCTGATACCTACATTTACTGGAATTCAGGTTTAAAGAGATTTCTGTTGGTATCTTAGTAGGGATTTTTACAGAAAGGAGAATGAATGGGTTTGAGGCAAGACAAAAAAAAAAAATTGGAGTAATGTAAAGATCTAAAGGAGTTATTACAGGAAAGAGCAAAGTGGAACAATTACAATGTTGATAAAACTTGAGTTATATATTTATGAGCTATCTGGCTTCTGCTGTTGCAGTCCCAGAGACCTTCAGGTTGATCTGTCATGAAAAACTGGAATGTCCTGCATTTCTGTGAAATTGTGACATTTTTGTAAACTTGTCAAATCCTGCAGCACACTGAAAATTCATGTCCTGGAAACGTTTGCATATAATCTGTTTTTGAATACCAGGCATGTCCCTAAAATACTTTAATCCCTTGGAAACCCATTCTTCATTCTAGATAATAGAAGCAAGGAGCCCTTTCAAATTTGATTTACAGACTGTTTCTTAAATTGTTCCCTTACAGCAGATGTTTTCTTGACAGAGTTTGGCTTTTTTCCCCCAAGCAGCAAAGACCAAGGAGAAATTGCTGTGTCCATCTCAGAACTGCTTATTGCAGTTATCTTCAAAGTGTCACAGGACAGCACAGGCCACTTGTCCACATTGCTACACAGCTGCCAGCTGAGCACTGATAGTGCTAAAGTCAAGTGGAGGATCTAGGTATGCACAGCAAACTTCTAATTATTCAGTAGGAAGTAGCGCCATTTGTACCATAAAGGGACACTTTCCAAATTTTGATTTCTAAGGATCCAGCCACAGGATGTAATTAACTACTGAAGACTCTGAAAAGAGATTTTTAATGATCTGTTTTCAAAACCAGACTCCTTTGCTGAGTGTGTGAAGTGCAGTGAATTTACATTTCTTCCTGCATGTGCCAGCAAACAAGCTGACAGGACCTACTGCACATGAAAGCATTGACACTTGACCATATTAGAGAGTACAAGGTTGCAAATGGAAGGTTGCAGGTGTGAAAGAGATCTAGATTGATTAAGCTTTTTGACAAGCTGACCTACAATTTACAAATAAAGCTTTCAAAAGATATGAAACCATGCTTGCAGTTCTTACTATGATTTTATAGATTTTTTTTCTTCTCTTAGACAAAAAGTGGCTAATTGAGTATCATTCAATTATAAACTAACATTCACAACTTTGCAGATTACCTACTATATAGCTCTTCTGAGGCTCAGACCCCCAAGATTTGTCTGAGGCTCTCAAATTAATAAAAACAGTCAAGTGTTCAGTGTACCATATTGCTATAATTGCTTCTTGTTAGTATAAATGATAGTCATGTCCCAGTCTGACAGACTATATTTCAAAGATTTCAATCTATGGTAAGAAAACCACTGTGTCCATTTCCTTTCCTCCAGCTGGATCTACAGCTTTCTATCTGGTTATCTTTATAAGCCCATTCATACCAAATTGAATAAAAATGTAAGTTTACAAAGATGGTTTCAGTTAGCAAAGGGAGGAGTTAAAACACAGGCCCTACATTTCTGACTTGTCTCTCTTTTCATATAGCTATGCCTAAATATCAAATACAAAATCCAATTGATGGATGCCCTGCTTAGAAAACACAGGGGTGAGTTGGTGGTAGCAGTTTTTTATTAAGTAATTTTCATAGTGCTCAAAATATAACAATTTTTATTAGATGCTAAACTATTCCCATGTTCATGGTACAAAAAAAAAAAAGAAAGGAAGAAAAATACAGCCATTGTTCTGTATCTTAACATACTCCATACTGCACCCTAGAAATCTCTTGCATGCATCTTATATACAATATTCAGATTTCTTCTGTACCCATAGGTACGGAATCTTTCATGCAATCTTTCAGTCTGCCGTAATTGCCCTGTGTTATTTCTTTAGATTTTGGAGATGAGCATTTTCCTGCTGATCCTTTATGCTTTTGGTGTGTGGACGTAAGACTTGAGTTCAGTGAGGTAACAAGATGCTGCAGGCACACCATCACACAGAGCTTGCTTCTTTTCCACCAGTAACAATTCTTGTGTCATTCTTGCAGAGACATGAATACAATAGTTACCTATGTTCAAAAAGGATATAAATGTAAGATTTTCACTACTTTAATCAATGTCACAGCTTTTTATTATTGTTCTTGTCAAGGTTTTTCCCACAAAGATTGATAATATTTGGGGTTTTTTCTCAACTCAAATTAATTCAATTCCTGTAAGTAATATAATTCAAGTCATAGAGTTTGTTCCCATCCTTCACTTTTCATTGTGGATATTTCTATTATGTGCTCTGTTATTCATAAGCAGAGTAAGTAGACATTTATTTTTCCTAAAATGACCTATACCTTCCATGTGCCATTCAGTGGCAAATATAACTGAAAATCATGGTCATTGAGATAATTTTCTTACATAGCACATAATTAAACACTTCAGGTTCAAGGGCACTCCAAGTTGTGCTGTCACATCCATATTCATATTGAGAAGTTCATAATCTCTGTGTGAATTCAGCATTTCTCTTTGAACCCATCTGATTTTTATACAGTATAAACAGACCTCACAGTCCAATCAAAAATAACAATCAAATTGAGGCTGCATCCAGCACCTTTCAGAAAATGTCTCCAATCATATTGATAATGAAGCCCATGAAAAAGTTCCTTTTCTTCAACACTGATAGGCAGAAAAATGTGCTAACATCATCTTCCAAAGGATTTAGTCCTATTTAGCAGTATTTCACTAATCATATAGGAGAATTCAGTTCTCTTGTGCAAACACATAGCAAAAATGGCAACTCTTCCCTAGATTTTTCACTGCATGGGAGAGACTTCTGCAAAGTGTATTCCGTTGTGAACAGCAGGAGAACAAGGCCTAAACCAGGAGGAATCTGTGGCTTTTCCAAAGGGAATCCTCTCACTCTTTCCCTTATAATAATTTCTGTCTTTTTCTTCTTCTATCTCCCAGCATTCTTCTTCAGAGTCATCATTTCTAAATGCCTTCAACTAAGCAATAACTGTTTGTGATGTGGTTTTGTAATTAACATCTGTTTTGATTCTGTCCATCATTCTTCTTGTTTTAAGCCAGATTGACACCTTTGCACAAGTAGACTATTTCCTAGCTAGTTCTCCAGCAGTCTTCAAATCACACATTAACTTGGATTTGAAGATAATTTGTCTTTAATATCAGTGTGCTTTCTAAGACTTTTCTGCTATTTTTGAATTGATGAATTTTCTTTCACTACAGTCCTACTCAGCCTCTCCAATATTTACTTAGAAAAGCAATAAGACATTTTGGGAAATTTGGTCAGTCGTTATTTTAGAAACCAACATTTGTTAATTAACCAAAGCTATTATTTATAATTAAATTATTTCAGAGTTGAAACCCTTCAGAGGTGCTTTACAAACAGCTTAAAAGTGTTCTTAAGATACACAGCTCTTGTACTGCTGCTTGGTCTTCACCTGTTAGCAGTGATACATAATCTGTGATGGTTCCCAGTGTGATTACAGTCCAAAACTGTTTGTTTTGAGATGATTCGGCATCTTGTATGAGTACAGGTCACACCCAAAAAGAAGGCTCCTCTCAGACAGTCCTTGAGCACCACATAACAGTTCTTACCTACTTTTCACCTTTGTTGCAGGAGTGATCTCAGCAACACCCAGGTTTTTCCATCAGTTTCAACAATCCTTGTAATTCAGAGCATTCCCATGTCTCTTATCTCCCAGCATTCTTTTTCAGATTCATCATTTCTAAAATGCCTTTACTTTAACTAAACAATAACTGTTTGTGATCTGGTTTTGTAATTAACATCTCTTTTGATTTTGTCCATCATTCTTCTTGTTTTAAGCCAGATTGACACCTTTGCACAAGTAGACTATTTCCTAGCTAGTTCTCCAGCAGTCTTCAAATCACACATTAACTTGGATTTGAAGATAATTTGTCTTTAATATCAGTGTTCTTTCTAAGACTTTTCTGCTATTTTTGAATTGATGAATTTTCTTTCACTACAGTCCTACTCAGCCTCTCCAATATTTACTTAGAAAAGCAATAAGACATTTTGGGAAATTTGGTCAGTCGTTATTTTAGAAACCAGCATTTGTTAATTAACCAAAGCTATTATTTATAATTAAATTATTTCAGAGTTGAAACCCTTCAGAGGTGCTTTACAAACAGCTTAAAAGTGTTCTTAAGATACACAGCTCTTGTACTGCTGCTTGGTCTTCACGTGTTAGCAGTGATACATAATCTGTGATGGTTCCCAGTGTGATTACAGTCCAACACTGTTTGTTTTGAGATGATTCGGCATCTTGTATGAGTACAGGTCACACCCAAAAAGAAGGCTCCTCTCAGACAGTCCTTGAGCACCACATAACAGTTCTTACCTACTTTTCACCTTTGTTGCAGGAGTGATCTCAGCAACACCCAGGTTTTTCCATCAGTTTCAACAATCCTTGTAATTCAGAGCATTCCCATGTCTCTAGAACAGACTCCAGTTAAGATGTGCCAGAGCTGATTTTGTTCAAGCAACTATTACCACACACAAAAAACTTTGCAAGCAGGACATACACAGCTTTAAAGAACTAAGCATTACTTATCAGCTACTGTCACTGTATTGAATTCATAGGCTGAGCTTTAATACATGGACATCCCAGTGGGACACAGGATGACTCTTCTAAGTCAGTTAAGGAAGTTATTCAGTGCTCATTGGAACAGGCTGGTTCTTGATGGTTATAAGTTGTCTTCTTCCAACTTCCAGCTTGTTTTTTAGGGTTTTATACCTTTCCATGCCAGTGTTTTTCCTACTGAATCTTCCAGCTACTAACACTCACAGTGTCAGTAACTACACTATCTACTGTCTGTATTACTCTTCTTTAATGCCATGGCCTCATACCCTCTCACATTTTAATAATCATTTTCTTAGTATACCTGTGCAGCACCCAAAATAAGTCTGGGAGAATTGGCAGCTGGGCCAGGACTAGGTGTTAGGTGATAGAAAAGGCCCTTTTGTGTCCCTGTCCTAAGCAACTTCCAGTGCTTTTCAGGAGTGCCTGAAGATTTTCCTGAAATGTCACCCTCAGCATTAAATTTTAAAAAATGTCTTTGCTACAAGAGAAATAAAACTGTGGTCCAGAGAATTTTTTGTGTGTGTGTGTGTCTTGTACCTGCTGTTCAGAATACTCACTAGAATGCTCAAATTAAAACTCTGAAAGCATGGCACCCAGATTTTCTTTGATTCCTGTATTTTTTTAAAAGAGCCATAATTCGCTGATTTTTAAGGCATAATACAAACTTATTTGCTTAGCTCAAGGTTTCTTTCGTGTCAAGCTTTTCTTCAGACTAGGAAAAATGTTTCTGTTCAACCACTGCTAATGCATTCTAACAGATAAAAATGTTTCAACTAGAAATATTTGATTATGACTTCTTGCAGGGCATAGTAAGAGAGATTAATGACATTCAGTTTGTCATAATTCAAAGTAGTCAAAGTTCCTCTCAGACTTCAATCCAAACTTGGCAACTCTAGGCAAAGAATGACAGAATGAACAATGACTTCTTGCAGGGCATAGTCTATCCAGTAGGAAATCACACAGACCCTCCCTTTGTGCCAGTTCCATTTGCTCTCCCAAACCAGGATGATTCCATTCTATATCTGGGAGTCTCCAATTATTTTCTTAAGTCTGCTTCACTGCCTCACTACAGAGCAGGGGCCTTTAACATCACTATCTCCAAAGAGGTGAGTATGATTTGCTTGTAATAGAATCACGAATATTAGCAAGATGGATAATCAGCAAAGACTAATACCTTATGTTTGCCATTTCACATAGATTTGGGTCGTACTTACACCACTTGTAAGAGAGATTAATGACATTCAGTTTGTCATAATTCAAAGTAGTCAAAGTTCCTCTCAGACTTCAATCCAAACTTGGCAACTCTAGGCAAAGAATGACAGAATGAACATCACAAAGTTGGTGTGCCAAGAGTGGCAAAAGGAATCTAAAAAAGCTTTTCTCAGCATGGATTCCACATAGAAAAGGCCCTCTCAGACTTCAATCTGAACTTCTTGGCAGCTCTAAGCAAAGAATGACAGAATGAACATCACAAAGTTGGTGTGCCAAGAGTGGCAAAAGGAATCTAAAAAAGCTTTTCTCAGCATGGATTCCACATAGAAAAGGGCAAGACAAGATAAAATCTACTAAAGCCCCAGTCTGCTGTACAGTGGCCCATGATAAATGTATTGGCTGTGCTGAGAAACTAGAATAAATCCTCAGACTTAGGAGAGCAGCAGAAAGAAGCAAGCAGAAGGTACAAGCAATTAAGCTTTCCTCTGTGGTTGAAGAACACACAGAACCTCTCAGAAATGCCAGTTTCCACAATGGCATTTGTAGTCAGGGTTTCCAATACGTTTTGCTAACTGTAGCAATGCTAAGAGGGTCTTTATGAAAACGGGTGACACAAATGGTACTACTAAATGTCATCACAGTGGTTAGCAGCAAAAAGGCAAATGAGATTTTTGAGTCCTTGCCTCTGACATATTCAGTGTATTTCATCTGAGAAAGTCTCAGAGGCAGAAGTAATGTCTTTTCTTTCAAAGAATAATACTTGTTTACTGGTATATGCTCCTGAATCAAGTCCATGAGAAATCTGTCTTCTGTCCCAAAGAGCACTGGGGGTTCCTTAGAAATCATTCTGGGGCAAGAAAATACTAAATCAAAACATGGATTATCTAAAACTAAAATAAATGGGATGTGTTGGGTTTGGTTTTTTTTACCCCCAAGGAAAACCTAATTTTCAAGCTGATAAAATTACCTAATTTATTTTGTTTACAGCTTGATAGTACTTTTAATCTAAACATTTCCCTACTCAGACATTTTATTTCTGAGGTGAGTACTTTATTGTACAGCTATTTTAAGAAAAAGCAGTATCTAATGTTTTCTATGGATGTTATCTGTGTACTAGCTCATTTGCAAAAGCTGGGAGGAGACAAGAAAACTGGTCTATTTTTAGTGCAAAATTCAAACTTACATGTCTACCCCATGATAACTCTTCCTAACTATATCATACTGCACTTTAGTAATTCTCTACTCTTCTGAGGGCTAGATTTGCTCTCAGTCTTTGAAACAGTTAAAAAGAATAAGTGGTAGCCATCTGTCAGATCAGTCTCCTTTCATTCCTCTTCAAGGTAATGGTATCTCTGCTATTGGTAGCCTGACTTCTCTTTGCAAAGATTCCTGACTTCTGACTCCTGAAGATTATAAACAATGGGAAATAATAGTCATGAACCTATAAATGTGATGCAATAAATTAAGATACTATGAAATGCTTTAAAAATATGGCAATATTTACTATAAGATAATGAAATTCAGAATCTGCATTGCAAACTGAAGCTTTGTCCTCTAGGAGTTTCTCAAACTTTTCAAAAGCTTGGCTTTTTTGAAAGGCTGTCAACTTTTCCAATTTCTTCATGTCGTTAAGGTGATTAATTTTTTTTTCTGGAATCACTAATTTCCTTCAGTTATTTAACATACTAATCTCTTTCTCTTAAAATATGTTTTTCAGGAATAGCCCCTAAATTGTTTCTCTCTATATGTTCAGTATCAGTGAATTTATAACTTCATTTGCTTTATCGTCTCTGAGACTCAGAGTATATGCAATGCTAATTTTATCACTTCAGTTGGTGTAATGAAAATGAAGCTTTTTTCATATTGATTTATTACAAGAGGATTGGTGAATAGCACCTGATTATGATGCAGCTATAGGAACTGTAGCTTGAGAAAAGCTTAACTCTGCCCTCAGCAGTTTTTTCCTCTTTGAACCTGCACAGATTGCTTGGAGTTACACAGCAGTGGGCCCAGCTGAGGCTGGTGCCTATATCACCTCCTGCAGTCAGTTTAAATGCAGGCAGATGTGTCCTACAGATCACTGCCTGTGTAGAAGGGTTTGTCTTGGAGTTACACAGCAGTGGGCCCAGTGCTGCTGAGGCTGGTGGCTATATCACCTCCTGCAGTCAGTTTAAATGCAGGCAGATGTGTCCTACAGATCACTGCCTGTGTACAAGTGTTTGCTGTTCTGCCAAATTCAACCACCCAATACATCTTTGCAGGGAATCTAGTAAGTAACAGGAGCTAGAAGATAACATTCATAACATTCAGTGCTGGGGCTGAACAAATCACACACTTATCTTCCTGGTCCTTTGAAAATCTTAGAGATTAGCATAAAATAGCATATACTGGTCTGCCACAAATATGCACACTGTTTTGTTGCATTTCACAGAAAGGAAACACGCCACACATTGTAGAAGTTAATAGATTTAATAGGCAGGTGCAGAGAGCCCTTTTCTCCATGTGGGAGGTTGAGTAACTATTCAAGAATAAATTGTAATACATAAAAATGTTACTGTCTGATGCCCAGTGTTCCTAACCTCTGAGTTATGAAATAGTTCAGTGTGTCCCCAGACATCTTTTCATTAGATTGCAAGTGAATCAATTATGTCAGCCATGCAAGGACTTAAATGATTCTAATGATAAAGAGGCAATCAGGGCAGTGTTATCACTCTGTTCACTCAATCCCAGTTGCTGGCAGAAAGCAGCAAATTCACAAAGGATTTCACAATCTATATGTATTGACCACAAAAAAAGTTTAGACAATGTGTTTCCAATCACTAAAGCAATTGCATTTCTGCCTGTATCTAAGACAGTATCTGTCTGTGCATTCAGTCACAGAAGAATGCTTTGTTTTTTTCCCTGCAGACAGCCAGTACCAGAGCCAAATTGACTATAAGCAAACAGAAGTTGACTATCTCATTACTTCTGAAGAGGTAACCAAGAAAAATTCAGAAAGAAGCATTAATTATCCCTACATTAGGCTACAATAGAACTTGTGTCAGCCTGACTGTTCTTGTTTCACCATGAGGAAAATATTAGTTACCTTCTTTCTTATAGGAGCTCCAAGATACTTTCAACTGGTTAGTCTAAATCTTCAAGATTAAATACAATAATACTGTGGAACAGCCATGTCTCTTGTGCCCCATGATGCTCCCCTTTTCTGAAACTTAAATACTTTTCCAGATGACAACATTCAATTTATTGGTTATCTTGAAGGCATCTGTTTCAGTCTGTGTTGGTGTCTTGGTTTGGTGTTGGAGAATCAATTTCAGTAGTTTACCCAAAACCCTCCGAATGTTGCTGCAAAGTCTGAGCATCATAAACAGAAGTGCTGGAGTGCACTCCACACAGGACCACTGTCCCTATAGTTCTCCATATGCCTTCATGAGAGGGGCAGGAAAAAGTGAGACTACACAGCACACACTGCAGCAGCATGTCATGAAACAAATGAGACTAGGAAGGTGTCTCTGGTTTGAATCAAAGCTCGGAGTGTTTTAGATTTCACTTAGGTCTTGCTGGGTTTGTGGTTACCTGTAGTTGTGCTTGTTCTCAGCTATCTTACAACAAATTTTACTCACACTTCAAGTAGGGCTGGGTTTACAGCCCCTTTCTCCATAAATGCACCTGATGGGTAGAAGCAGACTTTCAGACAGGTAGCCCACATCAGTGTTTCTTCATGTTAGCTCTGTACATCAAGCTGGGTTAGAATTCCAGAATTTATGACAATTTTTAATCTATTATAATTTCATTAAAGAAAAATGTGAGCAGGCTTTTCTTAGTTTTGGTCACTGGACCTTTTAACAGGAAAAGAGGACTTAGAATCATCAGAGCCTGTCAGTATAAATTTAAGAAGTAATGGTCCTCACTTAGAGCTTTTGATACAAAAATGTGTTCTCCTGTTCTTCAAAACTTTGTTTTTCCCCAGGAATATATGTATAGTGAACCAAGGATTCCATACAGGCATCAGTGGAAAAAGTTAGCAAATCGTAATAGTTAGAAATGGACATGAGTTTTTTCAAATCATAATGAATATTTGACAAGGGTGTAGTTCAGTCATTCCAGGAAATTACTATTCCAGAAAAATTTGATTTCCCAAGTCTTATAGTCACAGCACTGGACTACACATGACCATAGGAGGAGATTAGTAACAGAAATAGCCTGGTGATTCTAGAACTCATTTGTAGTTGTGCGAGTTTTAATTAAAAGTTGTTGGGAATTGAAGAGCCTTTGTCAAAGTTAAATATGTGAATCACCATGAAATAAGTATGAATTCCACAAATGAATCTTCAAGCAGTGTGCATAACTTGTGCCTCTAGTGAATCCTCTTCTTTTACTTTTTTTACTTCAGGTTCCAGTTCTCCCTGCTGCACTCCAGTCTTGGCTTCCCTGACGTAAGTTGATGGTTTCAGTGCCTAGGAAAGGCAGCTGAGCCCTTCAGAGACAAAAGAAATTCTTCTGAACTTATTGTGAACAATTATTTGTTGGTCTTGGGGATATCATCTGCCACCGCTCTTTGTGTTTTGAAACTCTATATTCTCTGCTTTTCTTTTTCATTTCAGTAAGTGTTTGGGTTTTTTCCTTATCAGATGCTCAAAATGTTATATAATCTGCCTAGGTTCAGACAGGATTCACAGATGAATGGAGAATGTGTAGTAGTTGAAGTGAATACAAAATCAGGCTTAAGCTCCATTTCAGGAATTATCTTAAAGCACTTCAACCAAATACAATAAAAACAGGAGATTTAAAAGGGAATAAAAAACCACAATTCCACTATTTTGATCACTTACTGTAAACTTGGAAATGCTCAGTGAGACTGTGCAGCAACTCAGTCCAACCCACATCTTTAAGTAAAGGGAAAGACACTAATCAAAGTGGCATTAAGACAGAGCATAAGCACAGGACAGTTCTTCCATCCAGAGATCAGTTCACTTCTGAGAACTGAGTCCTGCCGGCTGAAATGAGGTTTAGCATATTTCATTCCTAAAGCTAAGGTTCATCCCAGGTACTTAACATAAAGAAAAAAACCCGTTCAATTTAATTCATGACATGAAAGAAACATGGACACCTCTTTGCCATGTATGTTTTGCATTGTTCACCTGCAACTTAAACCAAATTTTTTTTTTTTGCCTGAGATTTTCTCTGTCAAGCTCTGCTCTGATCGTTTTGTTTGTAATTTTGGTCCTAGCCCTCCATTTTCCTCATCAAGCTACAACCTCATAGACATCAGGCACTAATCAGCAAATGTGCTTTTTCCCTCACAGCAGAAGTCACTGGTGGAGAATTTTCTGTCTTATGTTTTACAGAGAATAATGATTCCAGTAATCAATGATAAGGACTGTAGCCAGTTCCTAGGCACAGCTGTTGGGAAAGCAAGACTGAAACCATAAAAGGGAGTGTCCAACTTTTAGAGACTCTGTCACCATTTGGTGACAGCTGGGCAGGTTTACTCTGTGCTGGACTTCGATCCTGGTCATTCAGCCCTATGGATCAGGGGCTGGCACAGAGTAAGTGTCTGCTCCCTTTCAAACACTGGGCTAGGCTTCCATTTTCACTGAATGCAGTGTGGCAGCAGAGCTGAGACTGGCTTGAGTCTTGTCCTGACAGAGTCAAGCCATGACCAGAGAATGGCCCAAACTGAGGAAGTGCAGAGCACACTTGCATCTTTGGGCTTCAGGGTAACATCTCCAACTTTATCACCTCTCTCTGCCTTTGTGCTTCCACTGCTGCCACAGGTAGGACTGAGTAGAAAATCAGTTCTGTGGGATGCAGGGAGTAAGGGACAAGGAACAAGGGGGTGATGGCAGAGAGAAGCAGTGGGAGGGTACAGAAGGTGCCTCTGAGGTGAACAGAGGTGAGAAGACTGCTGAGGAAAAAGGTGAGATATCAATGAGAAGAAAAGAAAGAATGAAAGGGTGGGAATCAAAAGTCAGATGTTTAGAAAAGCAAATAAGAAAAAATCTGGGGTTTGATCCAGGAATATGAGAATAAGAGGAACCCACAGGCTGAATGAGGCTGAGAGGATCAAGTAGAGAAGAAAATAAAGATGGACAGTAAGTCAGAATGGAAAACAGCAGAAACCAGATTTTTAGGGAGAGATACTAGAAGAGGAACAAAGGCAGGCAGATCCTAGTGTCAGACAGCTGAGAGATTGTAAGAGGTTTATATACAACTTTTTTTGCATGGTTTTTTACCTTTTAGTACATATGAATAATAGCTCCCTTGAGAGACTGACAGCTAATTAAAGGGAAATTGCAAACAAATTGAGTTCCTTGAGAAAGATGCTTCTGAAGTGCATTTTATTATTACTTTCAAATCTATTTATATTTGTCCTTTTTGAAGATAAATTAGGGAAAGGATTTCCTCTTCTTAATTTCACCCACACTAACCTGACTGGACCTGTAACAAAAATTAATCAGGTGAGAAACCAAATTTCCTCTTATAGAATATTGCTTTTGTTTCAGGCCTGTGAATTGGTGCATTTTTTAGTGGTGGGTAGATCTTAATGTTGTCAATAGTAAAAATTTCACTATACATTGGATATAACATGCAATCTCTGACCCCAAAATGACCCCCCACTCCTAGCAGCTGTAGGTTTTAAAGGGCCCACCATCCTTTTGGGGCGCCATCATGGGGACATGACAAGGTCAGCACTACTATCCCCAGCAGGGCTTAGGAGCATGGAGTGCCTGAGTCCTCATTTCTCTGACCATTCTCTAAGAAGGCTCATGAGCAGAGTGCCTCTGTGGCACATGTTGCTCAGTCTTTTGGAGAGTTGTATTAACCTACATCAGAGCCCATTCCTACCCTAAAGTTAACTAAAGTTCAGGAGGCACAAAGCCACTCTTGCCTCCTGCCCTGCTGAGGGTTTTACCATGGGAACAAGTCCCAGAGTACTGTACCTGAATAGGTTCACATGAATTTAAGGTGGGTTAAAAAACATTTTATATGTTTTTCTTTCATTAGGGTCATCTGGTTATTTGCACTCATGTTCACTATCACCTGGAGGGTGAGGAGGACCTTCACAGCCACTCCTGATGTCCTTTGCTTTTAAAGAACAATAAGAGAAAAATGTAGTCTTCCTTCTGCTGTCTTATAGAGAGTAGATGCTATAACATTAGAAGCATGGCTTTTCATCATTATTTTTAATGTTTTACTAAAAATTTCTTAAGCACTTTTCACAAAGCAAACCTGTTGTTTTTAAGTACAGTGAGTGTAGCTAATTATTATTGATGCTTTGGAAAACTTGCTGCAGCCTGATGAGAAGGAGTGACTGGTTCTTTTCACTAGATTTGCAGACAATACATTTTCTTAATATTAAAGGCCAGTTCTTGCATAATTCAATTTATCTCCATTAGTGTTAGCAAAACTTTGTGTATGGAGTGAGACCTTATCCTTTGTAAGAATTTCACAGTTTGTCCCTTTGTAACTGGACACTGAGAGTGGGAATGAATCTACAAATCTCAGTGAATTGCCATTTAATTATAGAATCATAGCATCTAGTTCAGACACTGGCTCAAAACAGGACTAATTAGATGAGGTTATTGAGCATGGTGTCCAGTTGAGTCTTGAACCCCTCCAAGAATGAAGATTCCACAATCTCTCAGGACAATCTGTTTCATTATTTAACTACCTTTAAAGTAAATTTTTTCCATAGTATCTAATCAGTATTTCCCATGTTCCAGTATGTTCTGTGGCCTTTTGTACTTTCACTACACACTTCCCAGAAGAGTCTGGCTCCATTTTCTCAGTAGTCTCTGCAAAATTTGCAGGTAACAAAATGGCCTTTCAAGCCCTCTCTTCTCCAAGGTGAGCGATCTAATCTCTCAGACTCTCCTTGTACTTCATGTTCTCCAGCCCCCTTGGCTGCACTTGCTGGTGCAGTCCAGAGGACAAGCCTTGCTAATAAAAGTGGCCTTTTCTATGTCTTTTGTCACTAGTCCCCCATCATACTGAGCAATAAGCCCACATTCATCTTCTGCTGTCAGTGTTCTTACAGAAACTTTTCATGTTGTCCTTCAGCTCCAACTGAACTATGGTTTTCCTGATTTCATTCTTATGTGTGCAAACAAAATGTCTGTGTTCTTTTCAAATAGCTGGTCTCAGTTTCTGTCTTCTGCATGCTTCCTTTCTGTGTTTAGGTTCACTCAGGAGCTCCATGTTCTCCATGCTGGCTTTCTGCCACAGTTGCTGAACTGTCTGAACATTCTAATGGCAGTTCTTATGCTCTGAGACAGCTGCCCTTGAAGATTAGCCAGCTCTTCTGGGCCTCTGCTCTCCAGGGCAACTTCCCACAGATCCTGCCAAGCAGGTCTCATCTGAAGTCTATGGCTGTAATTCTGTTCTTTGTCTTGTTGCTTCTCCCAGGATCTGAAACCTGACAGTCTCATGCTCCCTGCAGCCGAGGCTGTCCTTGGTCTCTGTATCATATAGAAGTTGTTTGATTGTGGGTAGCTGCAGCTCCTCAAGGGTATCAATCTTCAAATAATTCCATACTTCTAATATCTGTAAAATGGAAGCTGTATTTTTTCTTTTATCAGTGTCAACAGAGACATTCAACTAGGAGACATTAAAAGTGTTTGGAAAGAAAAACTATTCTACAAAAGTCACACTGCAGAAAGTTCAGTTCAGGATAGAAACGTGGCTTGCATAGTTTGAGCTGAATCAGTTTATTTATCCAGCTGGCTGATAGAATACTATAGAAAAGGCATCCTGAAACCAAATAACAGTAAGTTATAGCAGGGCTTCCAATTCTTTGTGTTCTTTGGTAGGTGAAGAGTGACTAGAAAAAGAATACAAGAAGAACTCCAAAGAAATGGAAAGAAATTAGATTGGTGTCCCTCACTGATATCAGAAAATGTATAGAAGTTTATGTAACTGAGGGTGTGAGTTATATTCATCATCAGTTGCCAGAGATACAAATAATTAAATTATTATGCATGTGATGCCCTTCGGTGACAAGTGTCTCTACCTTTTCTATTCATGGATTGCACAATGAAGTGACTCAGGTTTTCCAGCAAAGTGCCCCATGCCTGGGGGCATTTGCTTGTTACTTGCAATATAATTGATTAAATCACCTCCTTGACAAGCCAAGTAGTGCTGGTTAGCTGAAGTACTGCTTAACTGGATAAGAAAACAGAAGAAATAGAAAATATTGACTGCAAGGACTTAATACTATATATTTGTACCAGATATATATACACTGTGGTGTCTGTGTGCATTTATATATATATGTGTCATAATAAAAATACTATATTGTTTATGGTTTCCTGTATCCTGAGCAATTTCAGACAGATGGGACTTGTTTTCCATCTGTTTTTCATACCAATGGCACATTAATTTACTTATTTTACAGTACAAACATGGCTATGAATATCTGTCCTGTGGGAATTCTCACTGGGGTTTCCTCCTCATCTGAAAAACCAGTGCTGAAACCATCTGCCACAAAGGCAGCATGCCACCCCAAACTCCGTGTTCTGGCACCTGAGCACCCCCAGCCTACAGTTTATATTGTCCTCTGCTTATCCCTAAATGAAATTTAACACATTTTACCTGGGAGATCCAAAATAGCTTGGGATGTGGTTATCAGAGGCCACTCCCTGGGTGATACCACTGAAGGTGATAGCAATTGTCTCTCTTCAAGCCCAGAGCTCTTTCCTTTAAATGATGGGTTCATGGCTGCAGAAGGTCTTCCCTGCAACATCCTCAGCCCTGTGGTCTGCTACAGCAAAGGTCTTGTCTTCAGCCTTCAGAGGAGAGGTATGGAAACAAATACATGGTGATTATGCTTTGTCAAGGAGTGGCTTTATTGGGAAGTGATAGATGTAGCTAAATCTGGTTAAATTTTGAGATTTTAAAGTATGAGAACTATGCATGTGCCAAAACCACATTTCCTTCCTTTGTTTTTGTTCTACATATGAAGTGTGTTTCTTTCATCTTTCAATATTTGTTAGTTAAAATTCAAAAAGAAAATACTAGTTATACTAAAAGGCAAAGATGTTCTGCAGGATTGTTTGAAACTGTTAAAAAATTAAGTCAATATTCTCTCATAATTTTGGAGATTGCTTATATTGTGATCATGACTGAAAATATTCTAGTCATTTGAGATATATTGTTACCTCTGGTAATGAAGCAGCTAGTGAAAGATGCAGCAATTTCAAAACTATTTTTCAGGTATTAGGGAAGAGGCAATTGTCTGCTTATAGATGGTTTAATTTCAGCTCTTCAATAGCCCTGTGGTAACTAAAGAAATTTTATCTGTAAAAGTAATGCTAGAAAAGACACTCTCCTCTACTTTCAGCTGTTTATAATCCAGTGCAGTAGCTGGAAATGAGGAAAACCATAATAATGTGACCTGTTTGCCAGGTCGGTCCCAGATGACAAATAACTCCATAGAAGGCTGTTCCCAGCTCTGGGAAAAAAAATTAAAAACAGTCTCTGATTTTGTCCAGTTGTGTTTAAAAATTCTCCATCAGGGTGGTTTCTCTCATTTTTCCCTGGAAAACCTTGCTGAAAGCAAGACCTTCTGAATTTCACACTACATGCAGTCAGTGATTTATGCAGATACCTCTATCTTGGTTTAAATCATGTCACAGAAGCCCCTGGCATGGGCATTGGCTTCACTCATTCACCCGTGGTGAATCCTGTAGAGCCACCAAATTACAGCCCAAGCGTTCAATGTTTGCCCAGGTGGATGAATCCCAAGCATTTTCCCCAGTCTCTATGGCAGTGAATAGGCTGGCTTTTCTCCTCTACCCCACAGAGCTCACTTTTTGTAAGTCTGTGGAGAGTGGGTGTTCTCTGCCAGGGTTGCTGGGCTTTCCACTTTCTTCATTCTGGAGGGAAAGCTGGTGTCCAGGGTAGGGCAGAAGGGAGTACAACCACCAAGAGACACAGCATGAATTTCTGCTATCATTATAAATATTTATTAACAGGTCCTGTAAAAAATGTGGAAGATGCTGAAGATTTGCTGTTCCCTCCTCCTCTTAAGTTTGCTCAGTGGACAACTGAGTGCCAATCCTGGACTCAAAGTGAGGATCACCCAGAAAGGGCTGGAGTATGGTATGTGTGATGTTCTCATCAAGAGCTGCTCGTGGCATTGCCTTGAATACCGATATGACAAAGGAAAGAGGGCAGTAAATTACCCCGTGGGAGGCTATTAAGGAAAGTTTAAGAGCACAGTAGAGCAGAGTCAGTATTGTCCATCATATCAAAGTTCATCTGACCTCAGATATTGAATCAGTTAGTTCAGCTCTTGCCATGACTTGGAGTGAGACCCGAAATAGCACTGCCATGTCTCAAGTGAGATACCAACTACTTGCTGATTCTGTGTCTGTCACATGTCCTAAACCAGAAACACATAACTAAACTCCCAGGCACTATCAAAGGCAACCGAACTGATCATTGTTTTCCTGTAGCCAAGGAGGTTGGGCTGGAAATCCTGAAGCAGAATATGGAGAAGGAGCATTTCCCTGATTTGACTGGCCATGAGAAATTTGGGCTTGGTAATGTCAAATACAACATCTCAAGGTAAGTATTCTCTCTGGGGGAAAATTGTGTTTGACTGAAATTTGAATCTTGTTTTGTGTTCATTTTGACTTATTAAATAAATTTTTAAAAAATCTCTCCCTTTTCTCTCTCATGCTCTAGGATACATGTTACTGCTGTTGAATTACCCAGTGCTTCCATCTCCCTCCTTCCAGGGTCTGGGATAAAACTGGTGATTGGAAACGCTTCTCTAACCATCGATATGAACTGGAACATAAGGACCTGGATGTTGTATGTACAGCTTTGCATGTTTTGGGGTTTTTTTTCTTGATGGATAATACAAAAATGCAAATTTTATGTTATTTTTGTGGCCCCTTTAAAGGTGCTCTTTATCAGCTGGCAGCAGTAACCCAGGAGCACAGACTGGTGCTTCTGACAGGTCTGCTGGTGGGACACAGCCCCTGCACCCTCAGACATCAGCACTGATAAAGAGCCCATGGCTGAGAAGCACTGCTGCAAAGAGCACAGGACTACTGCCCTAGCTGAATGCTGTCATTGTCCAGCCTGCCAGCTAATGACAGAAGAACTGTAGTGTGGTGGATCACAGTCCAGTATAATAAACCCTCATAGTGCAGTTGACACATTTAGAAGAACTGTAGTGTGGTGGATCACAGTCCAGTATAATAAACCCTCATAGTGCAGTCACACTATTAGAAACCCTCTGTTATGCCACCAAGAACAGATACAGTTCAAAAGCTGGTGGAAAATGGATGGGCAAGTGGCAATATAGAGCAGTCTCCTCACCTTCCTAGTCCTAGGCTGTTTCAGAGGAAAGAAATTCCTCTTCCCCTCATTACCTATATTGCTAAACTGGCTGAATTACAGCAGTCTCTAATCTGCACTTCTGCCAGGGCCAGCAGGGCTGCATGCAGGGGGAAGAGACCTGGGAGCTGAGGGGGGTGACACAGCAGGAGTCACAGTGCCCTCACTGCCAAGCACCGACACAGGCAAGCAAAGCATAGTGGCAGTGACCAGGACCAGCCATGAGTCCACATCACCAGGCAATTCCATAGTGAAGAGGTGGGGTGTTTTTTCAGTTTTTATTTATTTCCACTTGATGCAGCAAAGACAGTGGAAGAGGCACAGTGCACATTTCAAAAGTGTTTGTTACCGCAATCTTTTCAACGCCCCTGGACAACGCAGGCCCCACTTCAATAGCCCTCACCAGCTGCCAAACAACTTCTGGAGATGTAGATATCAAGCTGAATGGGAAAACTGGGTAAGTGGAAGAGATCTGCATAAACACTCTCACAAAATGACTGTCAATGAATGGCACAGAGACAGCTTTACAAATTAGGGCACACAGAACTGCTTTTAGGCATCATAAGGCACCCGGTGAGAACTGGGGCCCCAGTACATTATTAAAATGGCCAACACAGATATTTGTCCTTGTATTTACATGCAGTAGAAGATAAAGATGGAATCAAACAACCCCTTGTTCTTCTTCAGCACTTTCAAACTTCTGCTCTAATATTCAACTCTAGGTAGAAGTTACAAGGTTGTACTGTGCTTCACTCTTCCTACTCACAGTGCTATCAAAATTGAACAGAACCAGACTGTCTGCTAAGCCTCTGGATACTGCCCCATGAAGCAATATCTCATTCTTTTCTTGTATTTCTCTCACTTTCTCAATACCACTCTTGTCACCTGTTTGGGGGGTTGGTTTTGTTTGTTTATTTTTACTTGTTTTGGAAGTTCCTAGTGCAGAGGCTATTTTGTACATATAAGATGGTGGTCCTCTGAATAAATCAATTTTTATAAATATTAATTAACCCAGGCTGAGATGCATAGTGCTGAAATTCTCATCTTTTAAATGGCAGCTCTCTGACAGTTTTTACATTTCAAAAAGCTCCCATGTGTACTAGAATATCACACTAAGAAGCCAT